AGAGTGTGCTTCATCTTCTGGCAGAGATACCATGTGGGTGCAGATGAGCAGGTCCTTAGGTGAATTGTGGGGTGGACTGGGATGTGAGTGAGGGCTTTGAGGAGAGGAATTGGCCGGCTGGTTAGCAGTGGGGCTTAACTTCCATTTGCCACTGTTCCTACTCCAGTGGTCTGGGAGGCCTGTCCTGATGGCATAGGCAGGGGTGAAATAGGATGCAGGCTGTGGATGAGAATTGGCAGTCCTGAATGCTCAAATAATTGCTTCCCTCCAAAGCATGTTTTACAGCAAGCAAACAGAGTTTGGACTACTTATGGAGACCTGAGGTAGAAAAATTACTTATCAAAAAGTGGACACAGCTTGTAGAAAATGTCTCCAAATGAAAAAATAGAAAATGCTTATTTTTCTCTCATTTTATCCTCACCCCTCAAGGGTAGGGCTGACTGCTTCTGAGTCTGTCTATGGTCATAGGGGCTGTGCCACCTCAGGCTTGGCCGGTCACATATCCTCGACTTTGGTCACTGGCAGCTACGTAGGAAACTGCTGGGAAGACCAAAGTCCAAGCCTTTGTGTTGAACACTAAGTGAACAGGTGCGTTTGGGCTGCTGGCCCACTTCTACTCCATGTCATTTTTATCAAGATAGACATGACAGACAGGCAGCTGGTGTCATTGTTCCAGTCTCACTAGTGTGACAGGCCACCGTTGCATGAGGCTGGCTCTGAAGTAGCAGCTCTAAATATAGCCTTCCTTTCTGGCAGCTGCAAACACCTGGAGTATCTGGCAGGGGGGCCCTGGCCAGAAAGTCTTTGCTGTTCCTAGTGTGCGCATTGTACTGCTGTGGACTCTTGGGACTGTTTGGTGCTGTTTATGTGTAATTATAAGCAACCCACTGACTCCTTTGGCTCATGGTTAGGTTGTGTTTGGAAACATGCAGTTTGGCTTGTTGTGTGCTCTGGAAACTGGCGATGAGCTTACTGATTTGAGCAAGACCAGAAGAAAAGGGCTCACTGTAATCAGCAGAAGCATCTCTGGTGCCTGTGGTGGACATGGCTTCTTCATGGCTTTGGTTTCTGGCAGCGAAGAACTGCTGTCAGTGATGTGGTTTTGCTCAGTTGGCGAGAACTATGGTTTATGTGCTTGGTGTTCAAAAGAACACCAACGGTAATCAAGCGCTTCTTCCCAGAAAGGATTTATAGCTTTTTTCCTTCCTTTTCTACTTTGTATGTTTGTGGTGGGGCGTTGTTTTTTTGGTTTGAGACAGGATTTCATGCAGCCCAGGTTGGCCATGAATTCCTCATCCTCTTGCCTTCACTTCCCAAGGGCTTGCTAGGGTTTACAGGCCTTTGTGCCATGCCCAGCTTACAAATAGTCCGTGTGTGTGTGTGTGTGCGTGTGTGACTATTTTTTGAAACTGGGACTCTCACCTTGAGCTTACCAAGTGGCTAGACTGGTTGACCAGCAAGCCCAAACAAAGATCCTCTTGTCTCTGCCTCCCACAGCCAGCATTGTACTGCATGGCTGCTGGGGTTCTAAACCCAGATGCTCATGTTTGTGTAGCCATTCTTTACCCACTGAGCCCTCTCCCCAGCCCCACATGTAGCTTTTAAGCAAGTAAAAAGGTAATGACTTTTATAACGAGTGAAGCTCTTGTTTGTTTTAGCTAAGGCTGGGCCTCAAACACCACTGCCTCATCCTTCTCAGTGCTTACAGATTTGTACCACCATAGCCAGCAAAGAGAAAAGCGTTTTAAATCTCAGTGAGATAGCTTACCCACCAAGTTGGCAGAAACCCAGAATGACGAAGAAACACTGAGCCTGAGCCAGGGCTAAAGCAGGCACTGAAGCTTTGTTTACAGCTTTCTATTGAGGGAATTTAGATCTAATGAGTACACAAATAAATGTCCTTTGACTTTTCAGTATTGCTTATAGGCATTATTGCACATAGGCACACATACAGCATGATTCATGCTTAGGCTTTTTTATGGAAAGTTGAAGATTGGAAACACTCACAGTTGATTAGTGGTAACCCTATACAGTGAGTGCGGCTGTGACAGACAGTGAGACTGCATGTTGCTGAGGGAGTGGCTGTAAGACCTGGTGAGGTGGACATCATATAATAGGACACCAGTTGTGGGAAGGGAAATAGGAATATGTACCATATTTGCTTGTATGTGCATAAGAAGTTCTAGGAGAATGTAACAGGAATGGCTGGCTGTGTGTACATGTTGAGGGAAGAGGAAGAGCAATTATTTTCCATTGTATGTTGAGCTTTTTTTTGGTCTTTTTGAAGCAGGGTCTCCCTGTAGTCCCAGCTGGCCTGGAACTCACTATGTAGACCAGGCTGTCTTTGAACTCACAGATCCACCTGCCTCTGCCTCCCAAGTGCTGGAATTAAAGCCATGTGCCACCACACCCAGCCATGTTGAGCATTTTGTACCATGTACATGTATTGCTTTTCAAAACTCTAAATGAATAGGATACTTTAAAGCAGAACTTGGGGCTGAGGTGGCTCAGTGGGTACCCTTGCCACACCTCATGACCTGAATTCTGTCCCTGGGAACCACATGGTAGAATATCTGTGTGTTTAGAAAAGGTAGCTTTTGGGGTTTTTTGGTCTTTTTGAGACCAGGTCTCTCTGTAACCTCAGCTGACCTGGAACTCACAGAGATCCGCCTGCCTCTGTCTGCCTGAGTGCTGGGATTAAAGGTGTGTGCCAATACAACCAACTTGAAAAAGTAGAACTTTTTCCCCAAAGTTATGAAGGGACATCTGATACCCCATCCTCCTCCCCCTCAAATGTCTTACTGTGCAGTCCTGGCTCACCTTGAACTTGTGATCTTCTGATCTTCCTGCTTCTGCTCAAGTGTTGGAATTACCGGCTTGTGCCACCGGGCCTGGCTATGGAGGAACTCTTAGTTGATTTCCTCATGCATTTTTGCTGTCTTTGTGGATAGTGAGTTTTTTCTTGTTGCCGATGACATCTTGATACCTTCCATGTGGGTTCCTTCAGAAGAAAATGATATGGTAGTTTGTTGGTTCTCTTGCTTTTCCAGTTTCTCAGCCAGAATGGTTTTGAAGCCTTGTATGGTGGTTATGTGGCCAACCCTAAGAGGAGAGTTTTCTTTTAGTTTGTCAGTTAGGATCATTTCCTTTAGACAGGTCTGAAGTCTTTTGTCTTTTTGTTTATAGGAACTTACAAGCAGCAATTGGCGCCTATTATGACTTTGAGAGCCCAAACATCAGTGTGCCCTCTATGTCCTTTGTGGAAGATGTCACCATAGGAGAAGGGGAGTCAATACCTCCTGATACTCAGTTTATAAAAACATGGCGGATCCAGAATTCTGGTAAGTGTATGACAGGCATGTATGTATATCTCTTGCTTAGTTGTGTGTGTGTGTGTGTTTGGTCTTTTTAGACAGGGTCTCCTTGTACCCCCAGCTGACTTAGAACTCCCTATGTAGACCAGCCTGGCCTTGTACATCCATCTGCCTCTGCCTCTGTCTCTGAGTGCTGAGATTAAAAGTGTGCAGCACCTCACCCGGCTCTATTGCTCCGTTTTTGTTTTCTCATCCTTAAAAAGAAAAGGAAATGCTTTAACTGCATGTGATTTTGTGACTGAATGTTCATATACACACAGTATCTAGCGTTTTCTTGTACAAAGACCAAATGCCAATGAAACATCCTGTCTTAGAACAGGAAGAAGGACTTTGGTCTTTTGCTGGCTCCAGCCGTAGTCCGATACTCAGTTGGTACTGCAGACGAGGCTGGTATATGACGGAGTATTGTTTCCACCTGAACCTTGTATTTCATCCTTTTATTTCTGCTCTAATTAATCTTCCATCATTTCCAGCAGGCTAGAGGAGGTGCCGCCTTGAATAGAGTAGTGGAGTTGGAAAGAGCTAGGGTCTCCCTGTAGCCCCAGCTGGCCTGGATTTCATCAGTCCAGCCAGCAAATTTCCCCCGTCAAATCTTAGCATCAGTATATCACTAGCATCAATATATCAAAAGATAAATATATGTATGTATCTCTTGTTTGTTGTGACAACACAAATTTGTTTAGGGTAATAAAGGCAGGCAAACATATACACACACTCTTTACACTTTTTATATTTTATTTATTATTTTTATTTTATGTGTCTGCATGTATTGCCTGCATGTAGGTAAGGGCACCCGTGTTGTGCAATGCCCACAGAAGACAGAAGAGGCTGTCAGATCTCCTGGAACTGGAGTTACAAACAGTTGTTAGTTGCCATGTGGGTATGGGATTCGAACCCAGGCCTTCTGTAAGAACAGTGTTCTTAACTGCTGAGCATCTCTCCAGCCCCTCTTCACACTCTTTTATTTCCATTTTCCTTTTTTTGTTGTTGTTGACAGTTTCTCACTATGTAGCCCTGACTGCCCTTGATTTCACAGAGATCTGCCTGCCTCTCCCCCCACGTGCTGGGATTAAAGGCTTATGCTAAGAGAAATTTTTAATAAAGCACCTTGTAAGGCAGGCATTGACTGTAATCCCAACACTTGGGAGACAAAGATCACTGCAAGCTTTAAGGCCAGTCTGGTCTACATAATCAGACCAACCAGGTCTATACAGTGAGGCCCTGTCTCAAGACAAAAGCAAAACATCAAAAAAGAAATAAAACCATTGTTTTGATTTATTGCTAAATGAATTCACCACAGTTCTTTGAAGGTGGTACCTGAATATAGGTCTGATAAACGTTACTATATTTTCTTTGTTAAATTCTTTGAGTTTTGTTTCTCTTGTCCCATCTACTGACAATTTGTCAGAGCTAGAGAGACAGATCAGTGGTTAGGAACAGTTATAGCTATTCCTGAGGACCAGAGTTCAATTCCCAGCACCTACATAGGGCAGCTTACAATCCCTTACAACTCCAGCTCCAGAGGATCAGATGCCCTCTTGGGTGCTCCCCACCCCCCAAGAAATAAATAAACTTTTTTTTTAAAGTCAGTTTATGCTGCTTGGTTGGAGATACTTTCATCTGTTTGTTATTGAAGACTTCAAGATAGAGTCTGAGCTATGAAAACCTAGGCAAAAGTGATACTTAGTTAAGACTGTAGGTATGGAGGGAGTACCCTGCCTACCAAGGTAATTTGGTGTAAGATGATACAAAACTTAGGGGGATCCAACATATAAAAATAACCATTTATTAAAGCCCAGCACTTGGGAGGCAGAGGCAGGTAGATCTCTGAATTCAAGCCAGTGTGGTCTACATAGTGAGTTCCAGGTTCCAGGCCAGTTGGGGCTGCAGGGAGACCCTGTCTCAAAAAGACAAAAAAAAAAGACCATTTATTTGGCAATTTATTGCGGCAATACCATAAAGTGAATACATGAGCATAAAGCCTTTGGCTGATTCTGACACATGAAGTATTGTCTCCAAGTTCTTGTGCCTAAATTTCTTAGCAATACAGTGGCCATCACCTTTGTCACTGCTATAGTACCAAATGAGACAAGGTCTCCCTGTAGCCCCAGCTGGCCTGGAACTCATTGTAGATCAGGCTGGCCTCGAACTCACAGAGATCCCCCTGCCTCTACCTCCTGAGTGCTGGAATTAAAGACATGCCCCACCATGCCTGGCATTTTTTGGTATTTTTGAGACAAGGTCTCCCTATATCCCCAGCTGGCCTGGAACTTGCTATGTAGACCAGCCTCAAACTCAGAGATATCCTGTGCCTGCCTGTGCCTCCCAATTGCTGGGATTAAAGTAAAGGCATGAACCACCATGCCCGGCTTCCTTTTTATTAATATTATTTTTGCCTCTCATGCTCCAAACTATGTGTGCTTCTTGGTTTGTTTGCCTTGTTTTGTTTTTAATTTTTATTTTTGTTTCATGTGTATGAGTGATACGAGTGTCTTGCCTACGTGTATCTAAGTACACCATGTGCATGTAGGGCCCACAGAGGCCAGAAGAGGGTGTTGGAGTCCCTAGAACTGGAGTTAACAGACGGTTGTTAGCTGCCAGTGGGTGCTGGGAACCCAACCAGGTCCTCTGTAAGAGTGCTCTTAACCTCTGAGCCATCTCTCCAGCCTCCTTGTTTTAATTCTTTGTAATTTAGTTCATTGTGTTGGGGGACTAACCTATTTTGTTGTTGTTGTTTTTAATTTTATTTTATGTGTATCCATGTATTGCCTGCATTTAGGCAAGCACACCCATGTCGTGCAATGCCTGCGGAGGTCAGAAGAGGCTGTCAGATCCCCTGGGACTGGAGTTATGGACAGTTATTAGCTGCCATGTGGGCGCTGGGATTCGAACCCGGGTCTTCTGCAAGAACAACCAGTGTTCTTAATCTCTGAGCCATCTCTCCAGTCCCCCCCCCTTTTTTAAATTTTATTTATTATTTTTATTTTTTTGTGTATGCATGTATTGCCAGCATGTTGATAAGGGAAGGAACTTATTTTGTTTTGTTTGAAAGAGATTCTTACTCTAACCCAGACTGGGCTCTAACTGAGGGCAGTCCTCCCAATTGTCTGCTTTACACCAACCTTTTCTATAAACATTTGTGTATCAGATTTAATTATCGTTTTGTCCTGGGCATAATTCAAAGTAGTTCTTCCTTAGAGTTAAGTGTCACTGACCACAGACTCCAGGTGGAGCCAGGGTAGAGGACGCAGGAGTCATGGTATAGTGACATTGTGGTAGCTCTTTCCTCCTTTGACAGCTCCTGTGGTGTGTCAGTTTTGGAGGCATGTGGGGACAGGACAGTTAGTTAACTGTGGTGTGTTAGTTATGGAGGTGTGTGGAGACAGGTAAATAGCTTCATTTATATTTTTCCTTAAATTCTTTAAAGTCCAGTTTGCTGAGATTGTTTAATTTCTTTACCATTTAAATTTTCCCTGTTTTAAATATTTTATTTTAATTTAATTTTTATTTTTTATTTTATGTGTATGAGTGTATTGCCTGCATGTGAGTGCACCTGTGTTGTGCAATGCCACAGAGGTCAGAAGAGGGCTTCGGATTCCACTGGAGTTAAGGACCGTTCATAGCCGCCATGTGGGTGCTAGGAATCGAACCTGGGTCCTCTGCCAGAGAAGTCAGTGCTCTTAACCACTGAGCAATCTCTCCGGCCCTAATATTTTATTTTTATTTTATGTGTATGAGTGTTATGCCTGCATGTAGGCAAGTGAACCCATGTCGTGCAGTGCCCTTGGAGATCAGAAGAGGCTGTTGAATTCCCCTGGAACTGGAGTTATCGACAGTTGTTAGCTGCCATGTGGGTTCTGGGATTCAAACCGGGGCTTCTGCAAGAACAGTCAGTGTTCTTAACCGCTGAGCCATCTCTCCAGATCTCTTTTCCCTGTTTTAAATACATCAGCAACTTCCTCAGTTCAGCTTGTTCTCCATCATCCTTACTCAGGGTTCTGCAAACCTGACACTACATACCAAAACTGCTTTTGAAACATACATGTGATTTTCTGTTCATTCTTTTTTTTTTTTTTTTTTTTTTTTTTTGAGACAGGGTCTCCCTGTAGCCCCAGCTGTCCTGGAAGTCACTAAGTAGACCAGGCTGGCCTTGAACTTACAGAGATCCGCCTGCCTCTGCCTCCTGAGCGCTGGGACTAAAGGCGTGCGCCACCACGCCCGGCTGATTTTCTGTTTATTCTTTTTGGTTTTTTTGAGATGTGTTTCATGAGATCCTCCTGCCTCTACCCTCGCAGGTGCTAAAATTGCAAGTGTGTGCCACCATACAAGTTTGTTTGTAAAGAATGATTTGTTCAACAGTTTTTGTTTTTTTTTAAATTGGATTTACGGGGCTGGAAAGATGATGGCTCAGTGGTTAAGAGCACCAATTGCTCTTGCAGAAGAAGACCTGGGTTCAATTCCCAGCACCTACATGGTGGCTAAGAACCGTCCTTAGCTCCAGTTCCAGAGGAATCTGATGCCCTCTTCTGACCTCTGCAGCACTGCACGACATGGGTGCACTTACACACATGCATGCAATATACTCATACACATAAAATAAAAATAAAAATTTTTTAAAATACCATTAAAAAATGGATTTACTTAGTTTTATGTGTACGGGTGTTACCTATATGTTTGTAAGTGCACTGGTGTCATGCAATGCCCATGGAGGTCCAAAGAGGCTGTCAGATCCCCTGGAACTGGAGTTGCAGACAGTTGTTAGCTGCCATATGGGTGTGGGGAACAGAACCCAGGTCTTCTGTAAGAACAACCAGTACTCTTAACCACTGAGCCATCTCTCCAGCCCCAGTTTTATTTAAAGTTATGTCAATACTTTATTCACTTACAGAGAAAACACCAAAAATGATCTCGCTTTCTGTGAGTTCATTAGTATTATATATTATTATTATTATTATTATTATTATTAT